CATTGTAGCGACTACTTTAAAGTTTGAAGTTTCAAACCAACTAAAAAAAAGTAAAGATTGGACTAAATAATTGAAACAAATGGAGGATTTAATGGATTTCAAGTTTTTTGGTAAACTTTCTTTGTAAGAATGTTTAATTTAGGAAGTTTTAAATAGTTGGACATGTTTTGGTTATTTTGCTAAAAACAGTTGTTGAATGTGTTTTTGAAGTATGGTTTCAATGCTAAGTTTAATGAGATTCCTATATTAAAACTAAATGTTTGAAATTTATATAATTATGAATTTAATAAATTATTTATATAAGTTGTGTGATGTTTATTTATATTTGGTTAAGATGTTTATGAATGATGAAAGCAGATTAAATTAAATATAATTTGTTAAATATATTTTGTTAAATATTTTAGCTTAAAAATATATTATGTTGGCTTGATAATGAATATTAATATTAAGGATGAAATTCATAAATTTCAAGAATATAAATAAAGTTTATATAATTCTAATTATATTAAATTCAAGAATATAATTAAGAACAAATTCAAAATTATTAAATTAGCATATTACTCTTATTTATTCAACATTTTTTAACTTTAATGGACCAATTGAAATAAATACTAATTATAATGATTGTATTTAATTTTAATTTTTTTATTATTTAGTATTATTTAACTACTGATTATTCAAATTCTTTGAATAATTATCAATTCAAATATATCCACGTTATCATTATGTATGTACAAAATTTAATTATTTTAATTTAACTGAAATTATATTTCTTCAACTTCTCTAATAATAATGATGGTTAAGTCAAATAATTTTACATCGTAACTATTTTATTAATTATTATGATTTTTTTTAAATCACAGTACTAATGAATAATTATTATGATAAGTCATTTTTAACCTTTTAAGTTTAAAATATAGGTTAGTGAATGAATGAAGTTGTGACTGACTTTTTGAATTTATATTTAAAATATAATGCATTATTGTTCGTAATCTAATATAATAATAATAATATTAATTATTATTATGATATTCTAAATATTTAAATCTCTTTATTCAAATATATTAATTTCTTTATTTAAACACATCAATTACAAATGATGTTGTGACTGACTTTTTGAATTTCAATTTAAAATATAATGCATTAATGTTTGTTTGTAATATTCTAAATATTTTAATCTCTTTATTCCAATACATCAATTACAAGTCCACTGTATTTTATATTCAAAAACTTGGGAAAACTAAATTTATTATAACCAATGGAATATATAAAGACTTGGGAAAGAAAAATTTATTTTAGTTTCCCTTACTAATACTTTTTCATTTTTTAATTTTAATTTTAAGTATTTTTAGATCTAATTTTTCGATTTCCCTACAGACAGCTAAAATAATAATGTTTAAATTACTTTTTAATGTTGTAATTAGGGATGGAGATAAGCTGAGTTAAATTTTTTAAAGTTTATGGTCCATTATAGGCTAATCTTTTGGCCTGAGTCTGACCTTTTGAAAGGTCTGGTTAGCCTATTAGCCTGCTTAAAAACCTATATCATTTGAACAAGTACAATGAGACTAAATATTTGTTTATATTTACATATTTGACCTTACATAATAGCATAAGTTTTTGAGATTATTTGTTTGAGAGAACACATGAAAAAAAACTTATGTCATTATTCATAAGACTTTTGCAACTTATTTTCACAAGTTCTTTAAGATAACTAAATTTTATTTTTGTATTTTAATATAAAGTACACAGTACAATATAAAAAATAATAAATTTATTCATATTTATTAAAATAGATCGGCCTGATATGCTTAAAAGACTTTTTTTATGGTATGAGGCCTAGCCTATTTAACTAAATAGGCTTATAAAAAAGCCTAACTCTTTTCTACTTAAAAAAAGTCTGGTCTGACCTTGGTCTGTGTAGGCTAAGTCGTAGGCACTGTTATTTGGCCTGGCATAGTCTCACCCTTAGTTGTAATTGATGATTGATACAACTATTTATCACTCAATTCATCTACTTTTAATATAATAAAACTAATTACCACAAAATTACCTAATTATTAAAACTAGAACAGTTTTGACAATGTTTTTCATGCCCCTAAATATAATTACATAACTTAATCATTATTTATCCTAATTATCTAACCTAACTAAACATTACATTAATTTTTACAGTCAATTTTAATGGATTAAAGTGTAGTAGCTCAAAGGTTTAAACATTGCATTAATTTTTACAATCAATTTCAATGGATTAAAGTGTAGCAGCTCAAAGGTTATTGTTTTGCATTGGAATCGCGTTACTCTAATATCGTGAAAGGGCTCAATCTAGAGTCGTGGTTATAAGGGAAAATCATTTATAAGGGCTCAATTAGTTTTTTTTAAAATATTTATGCAATTTTTTGATCGTATTAACTTGAATATTTGTTGTTTTTTCATGGGTAGGGGTGCAAAGGCGTTGCACGAGAACACAATTAAGAAAACAACTCAAGATGTTGGAGGAAATAATGCAGGTGGAACCAAAGAAATAGATAATTGTTTGGTTGTTGATGCTAATTTTAGAACATGAAAAGATGTTTTTGGTTTTATACGTTTAAAATAAATGGTAATATATTTTTTCAAATAGATTTTGATTTAATGTGTTGCTTTCGATTTATGTTGAAGATTATATGAATCTCTTCCTTTTCAATTTTAATTATTTTGTTCAAATGTGAATCCCTTCCTTTATTTTACAAGATATATTGTTTTTATAAATATAATTTATGTAACATTACACTATTTTTATTTATTTAAGGTCTCATTCTGTTCTCATCGTAAAAGTCCAATTAATGGCAGACTTTTGTGTGTTTGAAGGGTTTATGCATATATTCTTCTCCCATGCAACAAGTTATAATAAATTTTTTAAATAGGTTAGTTTCTAATCAAAGATCTTTATTTCACATTAACTGTCTAAATCTTTTCTTTCTTTGGTCTTAACTCTTTTCATCCATTTGGAAAAGGAAAAGAAATCTATTGACAACATTCATTCTATTGGGCAAATTAAGGAAAATACTAATAGAGCATATGCATAGTTGCACACATTGCACGAAAGAGATGAAGGAACATAATGGATAATGGAGCGGTTACTTGATGATGAAGGCAGGGTGCAGTGATGTTTTTATTGCTTTAGGTTTTATATACAATACCAAAAACTAAACGACTCACCACTTCAGGTTTTGTGCTTCTTTATTGTTAGTGTTTCAAAAAAATTGGTCACCACTTTAGGTTTTGTAGTTTTAAATGTTTTAAAAAGCCTAGCCACCACTAAAACACACAATTCCGCTATTGATTGTGTACCGCTATAACCGATATATCAAAATGCACCGATGTATAGGAAATAGCAAAGTTGACATATCGTATTGGATACCCAAATTCCGATTCATATTAGCGGTATAGCAGCGATATTCCAGTTTTTTAACAACACGTGTCAAATAATGTGTGATTTTTAGGTTTGAGAATCAACTCGACTTAAATGTGAACATATTCTAGCTGAGACGTAAACAAGTAATTGGAAGGAGCCCTTGGCTGCAGTTGTAGAAAAGTTAATCTGCATATGAATAATTTTATGTATGTCTTTCATATGCACTACAGATCTGTTTCTGCATGTGATTATGTGATTTTAAAGGTTTAAAGAAATTATAAAAAAAAAAGGAGGGGAGGAGTATAGAGAGAAATACACAAAGGTAGTGTACAACATGTATTGCTGTTATTCGGCGCTTACATGGATGTGAAAGCAATAATTTTAATGGATTACGTTTTCATTGTTTGCAAGAATAAGTGACCTTCATAGAGCTCATTGGATAAGGTACAGCCTAATTAGAGGAATTTTTGTATAGATGACAGTGACATACACATAGTAGATGTACCTTTCTTGTTCTACATTTTGCAGATTCTCTTAAGAGATGTCTTACCCTCTTGTGCTTTCATTTGATTGCCCAATAATTGTTCTTACATTTTATTTGTCCTTTTTTAGGTTTAGGTGGTTGAAACTACCTAAGATGACAAGTTATTGCTGTATATAGAAAGATTTATAAGGAGATAGGAAAGAAATACCTCTGACAAGGACAAGAAATCCTCCTAAGTATAACAGCTAAAACAAGAAAATGAAGGAAATGACTGAATTTTTAAATGAGAATAAATAACATGACCCGAAAATTCTGAGAGTTGTCCAGTCCAATGTAAATAGATGTAAAGAAAGGAACCATTAGCTGACAATACAACAATTTTTTTTTAAGTGAACTCGAGTTATCAAGTCTGTGATTACCTCCTCTACTCTCCCATAAGTTAACTCAAACAGTTAAACACTAGAGATTCGCAAGCATGCAAATGAGATAAATTTCCCGGGTGTTTCTGATTACTTCCTCCCCTACCCCGTAACTTCACTCAAATAGTTAACACAAGAACTTCACAGGCATGCACATGAGAGATGACTTTAATAGCAAATTTAGTAGCCTAACCTAACAATTCTGATGAACACTTGCATTTAATCATCCCTTTCCACAAAGAATAATATCTCAAATTAGACCACCATTCCCACCTGGTCACTAGAGAGAAGTTCAAAGTTACTTAACTAATACGATAATGCTCCAAACCCCGCTTAAACTTCTCAATCTTGTCCCCGACCCGGTAGGTTTACCAGATCAAAACTTCTATATGTTTTCCATCTATTAAATGGCGTATGTTTTTTTGGTGCATTAAATATTTTACTTATCAGATAGTAGAAGAGCTACCTCATGCAATTACCAGTATTCCTTTTATTAGAAACAATAAATTTTGAGAGAAGGATAACTGTCTAATATAGTGAGCTTTATGAACTTCAATAAATACAACGCAAAAGAGTATCCTAAATCAAATTATTGGTGGCAGGGGCTCAAAGATAAACAGAAGAGGGCTATATAATTATAATCTATGAGAACTCTAATAATTAACCAAATGAACTATAATTGTTTTGCAAAAAATAAGGGCTAAAAATAAGAATTTTGAATCTGCTTCCTTACCATCACCATCGTGTACAAACTGGTTAATGAGGATAGAGAGCGTAAAAGCAAAACAACCAACCCTCCTCCCTCCACTGTCTCTATTGTTCTGGCCAGTAGATTAGGTTGTAATGCCTCAAAATCCTAAAATGAAATATAATGGCAAAACTGATTAATTTATGTTGGCGGGAAAATACATCCCGGAAAGGACAAGATATTGTAGTAATATGAAGTGTAAGAAACCTGAAGAATGCACATCCCAAAGGTGTTCCCGAGAACTTTTTCAGAATCCTTGTACAAACAATAAGTTATTCCCCCACCTTGCGCAAACAGTGAAAATGCATCAGCTTTCTCAGCATCACAAAGTCCCTGTTGCATCATTTTTTTAACCTGCTTGCCGCGTTTTTTCATATGACTGCATTCATTCAAAATCATTTTAATCAAATTCAACGAAACTTCAACAAACAAATACTACAGTTTAATATCACAATTTTTATTAACAGATCACATCACTGATTCATCGTCAATTATATATAAAAATAAAACAAACCTGCTCAGCTCAAGCTTGTGCTTGTAACACCACAAAACACTTGGCCTGGATTTAACTTGAGCCTTGCTAAGCATGTAGTGAAGATTAACAATCTGCATACAACAGAGTTTGCGTTAACCACTCAAATTCACAACACTCTTGAGATTCCAAAGCAAATCACTATGCTAAAAACGATACCTGGTCACGGGATTTGTCACCAATAATGACAAACATTGACCTATGCCTCGAGTTGACGCCATTTTCAATAAGAGTTCTGATTCGCTCGTCTACTTTCTTCCTCATTTCTCTGCAACGAAAATCAAGCAAATATACAAGCATATTCCACATGAAATTGAAACTGTTTCAGTTCAAGTATTTCGAATTCGTTATTTTGTAACTGAATCATGAACTATGAGTAATCAATTCAATTTATTGGCGTTTCAACAAAACTTTGAAATTAAAGAGAGAGAAATAAAGAATCGATAATGGAACCTGTGGAAGATGGAGGTTACGGTAGAAGGAGAGGATTTGGAGAATGATACAAAGGACCGGAAGAGGTGATGGCTTAGGGTTTATGAAGGGGTTAACGGAACGATATTTGTATATATACCTGCCCTTGCTCTCTATCAGTAATCAACTACCTAAGGGTGTTGATGGCTACGGGTCGACCCGCGACCCATTGACGGCCTTATTTATAAATAAAAATTCTTTTTTTAGGTTTATGAATAATGAATATATTTTATTTATATAAAAGACCAAATACATTTATTATTCAATAAATTATAATAATGGTTAAGGGAGTATCTCACAACTAAACATAATTTTTTTAAAAAAAAATATTTTTCACTAATAATATTACTAGACCAATAAATTTATGTAATTCTAACACTAAATATTGTTTCATATTTTACTTTGTATCATTTCCAACTTATGTAGATAATTGAACTAACATGTCTTTTGAAATTTTATACTATTATAAGTGTTATGTTGAGTTGATGAATTTTATTAAGTATTATATTATATAATGTGTTCCATTCAGAATGAGTGTTAGAAATCTATTATCGACTTTAATATATAAAAAGTACCACCATAATTATTTTAATCTCCTAATTAAAACTATTAAACAAGCTTATTTAGTGTCCCTAATTGTAATTTCATAAATCTAAAAGTAATTACAACAATTAATATTTAATTAACCTAAAACCCTATTTTAATTAACCTAAAATTGTATTTTAATAATTCTATTTAGTGCATACTATTCATTAATGTATAGATAAACCCAAACTCATTATTGTTTGCCTCCAAAATCATTTATTTAAGTAGGTGACCTAATTAGGATTTTCATTATAGTTGTTTTTGTAGTCCCTTCATTCAACCTCCAAAATATTATTGGTATACTTCATTCAACTTTCTGACAATCTTTTATTTCTCTAAATTTTAGGATTCCAGATTCATCCTTTGAATTATGTTGTATCTGTTTTTTTTATGATTCTTTCTTCCAGTTCCCGCCGCTGTCTTCTATAGTATTGGAGTTTCAAAAAGGTAAAACTGTGTGCTGTTTTTTTATAATCAAATCGATCAACAATCATGACTCATATCCTTTTAAATGTCTTCCATTTCTTCCCCAGTTTGTCAATTTTAGGGTTTATGTTGAATTTTGTGCTTTTGTCTCAAAGATTTCAATTTTTTGAATAATTATTTGTTCCCTTTGTCAAAATCTTTTTTTTAATTTGTGATTTGAATCATTATTTAAATTTTTTGGATTTAACTCTAAAGAAAACATTGTAATTAAAGAGATAAATATCGTGAAAGGCCTCAATCTATAGTCATGGTTATAAGGGAAAATAATTTATAAGGGCTCAATTAGTTTTTTTTAAAATATTTATGCAATGTTTTGATCGTATTAACTTGAATATTTGTTATTTTTTCATGGGTAGGGGTGCAAAGGCATTGCACGAGAACACAACTAAGAAAGCAACTCAGGATGTTGGAGGAAATAATGTCAATGAAACCAAAGAAATTGATAATTGTTTGGTTGTTGATGCTAATTTCAGAACATGATAAGGTGTTGTTGGTTTTATACGTTTAAAATAAATAGTAATATATATTTTCAAATAGATTTTTTAAAGTTTATGGTCCATTATAGGCTTATCTTTTGGCTTGAGTCTGACCTTTTCAAAGGTCTGATTAGCCTATTAGTCTGCTTAAAAACCTATATCATTTGAACAAGTACAATGAGACTAAATGTTTGTTTATATTGACTTATTTGACCTTACCTAATAGCATAAGTTTTGTGAGATTATTTGTTTGAGAGAACACATGAAAAAAAACTTATGTCATTATTCATAAGACTTTTGCAACTTATTTTCACAAGTTCTTTAAGATAACTAAGTTTTATTTTTGTATTTTAATATAAAGTACACAGTACAATATAAAAAATAATAAATTTATTCATATTCATTAAAATAGATCGGCTTGATAGGCTTAAAAGACTTTTTTTTTATGGTTTGAGGCCTAGCCTATTTAACTAAATAGGCTTATAAAAAATCTTAACTCTTTTCTACTTAAAAAAAAGTCTGGTCTGACCTTGGTCTGTGTAGGCTAAGTCGTAGACACTGTTAGTTGGTCTGACATATTCTCACCCTTAGTTGTAATTGATGATTGATACAATTATTTATTACTCAATTCATCTACTTTTAATATAATAAAACTAATTACCACAAAAATTACCTAATTAGTCAAACTAGAACCGTTTAGATAATGTTTTTCATGCCCCTAAATATAATTATATAACTTAATCATTATTTATCCTAATTATCTAACCTGATTAAACATTACATTAATTTTTACAGCCAATTTCAATGGATTAAAGTGTAGCAGCTCAAAGGTTTAAACATTGCATTAATTTTTACAATCAATTTCAATGGATTAAAGTGTAGCAGCTCAAAGGTTATTGTTTTGCATTGGAATCATGTTACTCTAATATTGTGAAAGGGCTCAATCTAGAGTCATGGTTATAAGGGAAAATCATTTATAAGGGCTCAATCAGTTTTTTTTAAATATTTATGCAATGTTTTGATCGTATTAACTTGAATATTTGTTGTTTTTTCATGGGTAGGAGTGCAAAGGTGTTGCACGAGAACACAACTAAGAAAGCAACTCAGGATGTTGAAGGAAATAATGTTGGTGGAATCAAAGAAATAGATAATTGTTTGGTTGTTAATGCTAATTTTAGAACATGATAAGGTGTTGTTGGTTTTATACGTTTAAAATAAATGGTAATATATTTTTTCAAATAGATTTTGATTTAATGTGTTGCTTTCGGTTTATGTTGAAGATTATATGAATCTCTTCCTTTTCAATTTTAATTATTTTGTTCAAATATAAATCCTTTCCTTTATTTTACAAGATATATGGTTTTTACAAATATAATTTATGTAATATTACACTATTTCTATTTGATTTAAGATCTCATTCTGTTCTCCTCGTAAAAGTCCAATTGATGGTAGACTTTTGTGTGTTTGAAGGGTTTGTGTAGATATTCTTCTCCCATGCAATAAGTTATAATAAAAAATTTAAATAGGTTAGTTTCTAGTCAAAATATTTATTTCACATTAACTGTCTAAAGCTTTTCTTTGCTTGGTCTTAACTCTTTTCATCCATTTGGAAAAGGAAAAGAAATCTATTACCAACATTCATTCTATTGGGCAAATTAAGAAAAATACGTTAGTATTTTGTTTTAATTATTGGTGTTTGAAATTTTTAATACCAATTATTTTTGTTAAAATTCATATAGGTTAATTAATGATATAATACTACTTGCATTTTGGTAATTGTTTCATCCAAATTAACTAAAACTATTCAAAAAAATTGCTTAAATCTATTTTAAGCCATTAAAATATAAAAATCATCTCAATGGTTGATTAATTTTATTCTCCCACTTAGTGGTTGCTTATTAGAGTGTTAGTATAGTTACTGTTATAAAATATGGATTTGATTTGTTGTAGAGAAGTCATGTATAAAAACTAGGATAGAGTATACGAGTTTGGTTTGATTTGTTAGAAAAAAGATTAATTATGAATTAAAATATAATATTTAAGTAAATCATTTGCAATAATGAAAACTTATATTTTGTTTGAATACAAACATAGATTAATTACTTAATTTTTTTATTATTTATTATTTAGTATATTTTATTAATTATAATAAAAAATAATTTAATTTTGTTTTATACATTACTCAGTTTTATTGAAAAGATCCATATTAAAACAGATTTTAGTTTATAACTAAAATGCAGTTAACTATTTATAATATATTTTAATTTAGTATTAGGAATATGCACATTAAAATTACACATAATTATATACATATGTAAATTGTATTTTTTGATAATAAAATGGTAAAACATATACTAAAAATTTCTATAATATTTGTTTTAACAAAAAAAACATGAGACAATTATGATGTATAGAAATCATAACTTTCTTATTGAAAAACACAAATTTGTCATTCTTTTTATTTAATTTATTTTATTATGTATTAAATATTTATAAGAATGATGGATAAATTCATATTATATATTTGCTTATGTAAATTCTTAATATATGAATTTTATATTTATATGATACTTTTGCTAATGTAAATTCATACTATAAAATCTTTGTAATAAAATATTTCTTAATTTTAAAACATGAGTCAATAAATAAAAGTTATTTTCAACATTTGAATTTATCATGTTTTGTTTTATAAGATAACTATAAAATAAATAACTAAGCCTACATCTTTTCCACTATCACATATTCATCAAATTAATAGAATTTAATTATTGTATTTCATATTTTTCATATTTTAGTTTTTAACCATATTTTTAAAATAAATTATCAAAATGGTTTTTTTGGGTACAATTATTAAACAAGTATTTTCATACAAATTTTTAGAAACATTGATTATTCTGTTAAAAAATAGATCTTAAATATTAATTTATAAAATTATTTTTAAAAAATAAAAAATAAAATACAATCAAACAACTCTATTATTAGATATAGTTTTGAAAATTGTGTTTATTATTAATAAGAGTATGTTTGGCATTATATGTTTTTGAACTTATGGTTTATAAGTTCATATGACAATAATAGTTTATTTTATAAATTTTCTACGGGCCGAGACTACTTATAATAGATATGCCCTACGGGTCAAGTGCAAATGCATGATTATATGATTACTTAATTATTTTATTTATCTTTCTATTAAACTATACATTTTCGATGGACCGAGACTACTTAATTTATATATCTTTTATATAT